AACGTACACCAGAGCATGAATAGGGATTTTACGGTAGAGCACTGTTACCATGAGGATCACGGAGAAAGGAAACTCTCGCTCTAAACTCATCGCAATGGAAAGAAAAAGAAAGCTTGCAATCATTGAAATATCTGTTTTCCATAGAGTTCATAATGAGGCCTATGTCTTTAGTGCCCTTCTTTTAATGAAGTTAATAGTGCAGCGTTGATCTGTATTCTCGTACCATCAGCACTCTCAGGTATTTGCTTCCAACTCGAGTTTTGAAGAAAGAAAGGATAGTGACCCTTCTGGAGCTCGAATATTGGAACTCTCGGTTGTGAGGCAGACACTTTACCTACTGAGCAAGCTGACCTGTTTTCCTCTAACACGGTAAAGGTTCCTGCAGAGGAGTATGTCATGCCCAAGGTTTTGGATCGCATTTGATGCATGTTCAAGAACCATAGGACGTGCAATTCAGAAATACAGAATGCTATGCAAAAGTGACTTTGCAGGGTAAGATAAAAGATGAAGATTTTGAGTGATTGAGAGGATTCTTTCAAATTGCTGTAGTTGCGGAATTCGATGGAGAGAGGAGTGACAAAGATACACGTCGTTCCTCCGCCTAAGTGCAATCTCCTTCCGATTTGTCCTTACCGATCAACTGTTGTTCGCTGGGAGACGCCTTTTATATATGATCCGTTACTTTGAATTTTGCCTATTTTGGACTGATGGTAAATATTCATCTTCTGCGCTGCATTGACCGAACATCAGGGACAAAAGGAGCGATATGCAAATGCTTGAACATAGAGAGAAGCTCGATGGTCCTTGAGGAAGTTCAAAGGATGATTTCAGACTGGTGTGAGATCAAACACGTGATCAGACAGAATGACGCTCATTTCCATTTGCTATTCAGTGTAGTTGTAGGTCTCATCCTACGAAACAACGCTATACGGCACTGCGTAGGCGGCCTGTTAGAACAGAGGCAAAGTCCGAGGTACATGACCAAGTATTTAACTGATTTGCACTATGTTGATGACGTCGCCTTACCGAGCAAACGTGATTACAGCATCCGCTCCTTCAGTGAATCAGAATGCAAAACTGTTGCGAAATTAGGCCTCCTGCTGAACCCACCAAAACATGACGAGGAACTCAAAAAATACGGAGGAACTGAAGGTGTCCCAAGGAGAGAGAACTTTTGATGAATTCACGCAATTCAAATATCTTGGGACAATCATCTCGATGGACTGGAACAGAAAACAGGACCTCAACGGAAGGATTGCGCGGGTGTCGTACCTCCAGAAGCCTTACAGACGTTTTCACTCATGAAAGAATAGCATTTGACGCAAAGATCAGACTCCGTCGTGCTGTTCTCATAGCCGTTCAGCTCGTGGAAACGGTCGCACTCACAACGGCACAGGAACATCGACTGGACGCCGGGGTCTCCGACTACTGAAGATCAAATGGCGCGACAACATGAAAAGCTTGGTACTTGGCGACCTCCCCAAAGTATCGAGGGTGCTGGAAGGACACACGTATGAGGTGGTTCGATCATTTGCAACGAAGCGATAAAGCCTCGGTAGGAACCCCGATATGACTGCGAAAGATCGGTGGAGAGCTCGTCATGTGGCAGAAGAAATTAACAAAGATCTACTCGAAGAAAATTCTTTTCTTTGTCGATGCAGTTCCAAATATCAAAAGCGATTAGTGGTGGGAGGGGGGGGGTGAGGGGAGATTGCGAATATTAAGTAGTATTATGCAAGATGATGGCTTCTGAACAAGATTATGGCAAACTGCAACAACTCTGAAGATGGATTCATTGCGACCTGAAATCTGATGCTCTCTTCTGCGAAATAAATTCTCTTATGCCTATCACAATGATGAACTCTAAATATCAATAATAAATTGGGGCGATACTTTTTAAAGTATGTGTTCAAGTTGCTATATTCCATGGTTTGCAGCATGAGTAAACGCTGGTTACTTATTATTGACGTTTGGCATGTACCAATCAAAGCTTCAAGTGCAGTCATTGGCAACAGTCTTCTTTAAATGCCGATGATTAGAAGTTAAATCAATAGAAAGGTATACTATATTTGACTATGCCACGCTTTAGTACAGAACATAGGGCATCAGAGCTAATGAACGGCGTGATAGTGCATAACAGTAATACAACAATACACTAACAATGCATTGCTGTGGTCACCAGCATAGTTAGGTGTTGTAGATGAAATATTCTAAATATACAGTGCCTCTATATAGCTGGTCATAAACAATCCTCTTACAGTTTTCCAAAGCTTACGTGATGGTTGCGGGTACCATCGGTACTATAGTCTCTACAGGAGTACTTGGATATGCAGTTACTGAACCTCAAGTGACTGACCGCAGTGACGAGGGTTCCTGAAAATGTGAGGCGAACAATGACGAGGTTTCATTTTTCACATATAGGCGCGTATGAGGTGGTAAGTCAACACTACAACCTCCATGTGTAACTGAGTGCAATATGAGCACATACGTGTCACAGAATTCCCGTGGATTTGAATCTTTACAGCGAATGCAGAGGTGCGTCAAGCCTCTAAAGGAAAAAAGGGCTAAGCTTCCAATTCACCAGCTATCTCTAACTTTGATCTACTAATATTCATTCAGCATTTTGTAATATTGTGTTCTTACCTGAGAGAAGCAGCATCTGTTTTCCATAAGGCTTGGTCATTCGCGCCACGACCAGCACCATGCAGTTGATCAGTACCGAAAAGAGGCCATTGGTGATGTAGCTCACTGCTTCTATATTGTGCTGCCGATTGTTATGCTCCGCAAGCGTCTGCGGAGAGTACAGCTGGTCGAATGAGGTGGTCAGTGAAACGTTCATACTAAAATAGGATAACCACATCTTGGACTGAAAACACAGCATTATCTCATAGTAAGCATGAACAATTACAGTACGAGAAACATTGAAGCATCGGATTGATAGACAGTTACCATAGGCCCTCCAATAATTATATATTCACGGCAAAAGTCGCGCTGGAGTAAATGGCGCTGTGTTGTCGAGATCTATCACCACTGACACTGACCTCCGCCAAGGGTGCATTCTGCTCCTTCCTGTACGCGTTGCAGATCGACAGGATGGTTGAGAGATGCCAGGGTGATGGGTGCATCAGATTAGGAAGTGTCCAGGGCGAGACGTTTCACTTTCGCAGGATACTAGACATCATATTTGACATATGCTGAAACTAATCGAACTAGCCAAGGAACAGGTGTTGAAGTTCAAGTCCCCTAGGGTCGCATTTGCCGGTGATGAAAACTGGAAGGAAGTGGTCTACCAGTTCTGAGTCTGACGACTATGCTCTCTGCGTTCAACTCTGTTTTCGTCCGACGCTAACTTATCGATCTCAGGTACAAGCTGCTGAAAGAAACTACCTCAGACGAATCGCTGGCCCTCACGTGTCGATGAGGTTCAAAGGACACATATCCCAGAGAGTGTTGGTATATAGCCGCTTCTTCTCCAGACTGGATAGCCACGGCTGCGCTGGCTTTGACACGTCATGCGAATGTTTCCAGAACGGAAGATGAAGCAGCCTGCTTCTTGTTCTACCGATCCATTGAAGACCGAGAGACGACTAAGAAAGACGTGGGGCAATTGTCTTGACGGACTTTGCTGCAGACTCACATTATCTTCTACCAAAGCTCAGACGCTGGCACAGGATTGGGAACTATGGAGACTTTGTCCAACTCTACTGTATCCGAGACCCGAACGGATAAGCGGCCAACGAAAGTGATTGATTGCCTGACCGACTGATACGAGGCCACAGTTGATGATTCAGGGCAGGTTATGACACAGATGAGATCACTTTAAAAGAATACTGCTGTGGCGAGACTAAAAATGAACCAATGCAGAACCGTCGTTATGGATACGAGTCATTCTCTCGCAGATATACAGTGAAAATTGTTGTGGTTCAGTCAGAAGCTGTCACACAGGCCACAGGAGAAACTTGCATTGTAGCGCTTGTTCGGCAATTCAACAAAAACGGGGATTTCGACTCGCTTGCATCGAACATTTGAGATAGTCGAACTTCAGGACTGAGTCTAACTGAGGCTGGCTGATTGACAGACTGTGAGAATTGCTAGAAAAGACTGAATGATGCGTCTATGCTATGAGTTCAACAGGGAACATAGGACTACGAAAATGAATCAATGAATCCATGAAACAATGAATTAACACAGCGAATGAGATCAGTAATAAGATTTTGTCTCTGTACATCTTGATTCAAAACACGGGTATCACGGGATCTCAGCTTTTGAAATTAATTATGGTAGAAATTAATTCGGGAGAAGCCGAAATTTATATACTGACCTTAATTTCAGTCGCAAGTATCAATCGTTGAGTTAGTAGTCATCGAAAAATATACCCAGGCGTGACTTTGAATTAGTCTATTTCAGGCAGGATGTATCATCGCCATCGGAAAACTACGATGATGGCATTCATTTTCTGGAAATACACAACCTCATTTTCCTCCACTAAAGCAAAATTGACATTTAGTTTTTGAGTTCAGTGCCTCGAAGACAACGTCATTTAATTTCGTTATTTCCTCGTTTAATGCATAAACTAAATTTCGACCCGCTGTCAGGCATGCAAGTCCGAAAGCCTATTGCACAAAGCAGTCAAGCAAAGTCAAAGCTCACTAATGTGTTTGATGTGCACTTCGTTCCAGATCGAAAGTAAATGCACAAGGCACAAAAACTTCTCGATTCCTAGCAACACGCTGGCTTGCATATTTCGTTTCATATATTGGCAAACAATTTTTTTTAAGTCGAAAGATGGAGATTAATCGAAGTCAGTACCAAATTTAACATCTGTGAGAAGGCAGAATATATATCCTTATGTCTGTCTGACTGCCTATCAGTCAGTATGTCTACCAGTCAGTCAACCTGCTTGGCTAACTGTCTATCACTATTTATGCGTCCGTCCATTTATCCGCCCATCCATCTACTTATCGATATATCTGTCCATGGATCCATATGTCTGTCGGTCCGTCTGTTTGTCTATCCATCAACATATCTATCTGCACATCGATACTTTTCAATCTATCTTTACTAGTTGTCTTGATCTGTTCAGTAAGCGGTATGTGACTAATAACAGGAAGTTGAGAGGTGTGATCGATGCTGTATAAAGCGAAGCAAACGGGAAAATGCACGTCATGTACAATGTTTTATTGAGCTGATTCAGTGTCAATATTTAGAATGAAAATTAGGGGGGGGTGCACGAACCGAATTCGTTTTTCGAAGTCGGTGTTTCCAACAACCACAACAAGGGCAATGCCAATCACCTGTGTATGTTCCAAGTAGGAATAAAGGTGGAAAGCCGTTGGCATCATTTTTTGTCAGAATTGTACATGAATTGAGTACTAAGCCTCTAAACCAGTCTGTATCCTCAGTCTCGAGGACTTTTAAGTAATATAATATATGAATAACAGTTTAAACGAGATCACTTCAATTCTCTATGCCGGTAGAAAGTTCATCATCACCAGAATCTTCAAGGCGAAAACTCCGCACACGCATTCTATTAAACAAATTCACGACGCTTCAGTTCGAGCTGTATCCATTGTCATGAAATGTTACGGAACGTTTTGTAACTGTTGCTGCATAATGTCAACAGGAGATGGATCCACATGAATAATGGATAGAAATATGACGAACCAGTCGATGAGAGCGTTGACAGGAGTCTGGGACATCACTGCAATTTTCATAAGTTCATATGCTTCATGAAAGGGCCATCAAAGAAGAAAGGGATAGAGACCGGGTGCCGAGATGTAGCAAACGGCGCATAAAGAGACCTCCTGGTCGATAACATGAGGGGCTTAAGAAACTTGTTTGAGTGACGTGAATAAGAGTTGCAGAAGATGAGAGACAAAATTAATAACCAGCGTTTATTGCAAAGATCGACCATGTTGATAAAAATAATTAATTTTCATTCGTAAATTAGAGCTTTAGCTACAGATTACATTCGCCTAAAGTGGAATGAATTTTTCTTAAACTTCTCTAAATGCAGTTGATACTCAACCGTTAATTTCTGTTGACCAGAAGCAAACAGCAAAATGAAATACGATAATGAATTCCAACCATTGCTAGATATTAATGCTATTCGAAAACATCAGGGGTTATACCCTGCGCTGATTATCACACTGAATAAAGCAAATTGCAGCTCTCTGAAGAGCTTTCATCTGACCCCCGTTCGTGACTCATCCATTCGTGCAAACCCACACCAGTACACTGTGTTGCCCTCTTGTTCCCGTGCCAGCGACTTGCCTGTTTGGTGAACGAGAGCGAAGTCGGCTGTATTCATTACTCAACGGAATTAGAGCTTGAGTCAAATATTGACTCGAGTTTCTTAGGACTCGAGCC